TATATACACACAGTCAAACCTGTGTAAGACGACCACCCATTGTCAAGGAGAAAAGTGACCGTATAAGACAGGTGGCCGTCTTAGGCAGGACTGATCAAGATAAAGAAAACAAACCATTCCCATCTGAGGCCCCAATCGAAAGAAGCCCCATTATGTTGTCTTTGTTGGTGTTGTTGTTGTTGTTGTTGGTTTGTATTTCGTTTGTAATTTTTATTTTGTCGCTGATTTTGCACAAGGGTGACAATAAAACGAAATGTATCAGACAAGGAAGACCGAGTGCCATGCTAAAGCTAACACACGGGTCGCCACCACTCGGAGAACGAGCGACGCTTCTTTCACAAGTTCATGTTGACGTCCTTTGTTACTTTGTTACAGACTGGGTAAACAGTGACCACTCATCTCACTTACGATTTGTGTATGAGTTCTGGGCGGGGCTTATGGGTTATGAGGGATCACACGTTTACCTCACCAGCAGCTGAAAATTGGTAGCTATTGGTCAATAGTGGGAGGGGCCTACACAACATGATCGGTTGGAGGGACTACCTAACAACAACGACAGGTGATTGAATTATGACGGCTCGCCCACAACGCCAGGGGCCAATGCACAATTTATGACAAAACGTAATGGAGTCACTAAGGTGACCGTCTTAGACAGGTATTACTGCTTAGTATTATAGGGGTTGTGTGTTAAATTATTGTGGCCGCGGCCGCGTTGGACAGGTGCCCGTTTTACACAGTTAAATTATATAGAAAAAACGCAAGGGGGGAAATGGAAAGTGGCCGTTTGTACAGGTGGCCGTCTTATAGAGGTGACCGTCAGGGCAGGTTCGACTGTAGATCTATGGGAACAATATAATATTGTTACTGTTAGCCGTATTAATGCCTTTGATGAGGGTTTGCAGCTCTGAAATGGTTGGGAATACTACAGTCCAAGATCATATAGGTTATCTACATCATGTACATGTACCAGATCTAAAGAATCTTTGCTTCCGTGAAGTATAAAAATAGGCCTACACATTACTGCGACCAGTGACCAAGACAGAAAACGGAAGCGGCTAACAAATGTGACGTCACAGTTTCCACGTTTGTCAACAAAATGGCGTCCATAGTGAAAATGGCCATGGAGTTTGTTTACACGGTAAGTTGTTGATTCACTTCGAAATTAGAAAAATAACGGAGTAAGTGGAGAAAGCATTATTGCATTTGATTATTTGGGTCCTTAGTTGCTATTTCGAGAAGATGCGCGGACAGTGTAGATATAGAGTCTAGCAGTTTAAATGTTATCACACTGCGATACACATCTAATCTCAGCTAGGCTAGGCCGCTAGGCTAGCCTGGCCTAGAGCCTAGACTGGAGATCTAGACTAGGGCAGGCCCTGCCCCTAGTCTAGATGTACATTTTTATTTGTGATGATGATCTCTGCTTGCATGCCTTCTGACATTTTAATTGTTGCTTTGTTTTACATTGTGACAGACAATGATTAGATCATGATGTCACTTTCACTTGTTGACTTGTTGTACTATCATGACTGAGAAAGAAACGACAGAGTATGAGTAGTGAGTAGTAAGTTAGTAGAGTACGTCCTGTGGTGCGATATACAGTAAGCGATCTTTTGTGGATATCTCTGGAAGTTACAGGTCGATCTTCATGATTTTTTCACCAGAAGTTAGAAAAACTTCCTCTCTATACGGTGTACATAGCGCATTACTGTAACAGCAGTTTAAAATTTCTATATATGTTGTGGTGGTGTTTGTTTGGTAACGTGTGTCTGGTTTGGTGCGCAAGGTTTCTGGTTTGGTGCAACATATCGTCTTGTTGGGTGCGCAATAGTACCATGTTTACAGCTCTAGATCTAGATCTAGCTCTTTTCTGACACTTTTCATCTTTCTCTATCCTTGCTTTGTCTTCTTTTCCTTGCAAGAAGTTCCTGTACTGACCATAACGGAAGGCCAAGGTCAATTAGGCGTGTTCTTTTTGGGAGCTGTGCGCCCCCTGACAGGAGATTTCCTTACACCTTGTGTATGTGTTTTGATAATGGATAAAAAGAAAGGTGCTGTGGACACAAGAAGGGGAAAGAAGAAAACAAGAATAAGACTATACCTCTAGACTAGTATTTTAGAAGGAAAAGGACAAAAAAGAAGAAGAAAAAGACGTGAAAAGAAGAAATTGAAAAAGAAAGGTGCTGTGGACACAAGGAAGTGAAAGAAGAAAACAAGAATTAGACTATACCTAGACTAGTATTCTTTAACCCTCATCCTGCGGGCGCCGGGTTTATGTAGCCCGATAAGCCTATTTCGGCACCTCGCCTGCGTTCTGGTCCCGAGTCAGTGTAGCTCCTGGCTCAGCGCACGCGCAGCGCGCATCCTCTTACGTGCCATTCGGGTCCCGAGTCGGATCCCCATTCACGCA